AGCCCCAACCATGGTGGGGCTGAGGTAGTACAGATCTTCTATCTGTCAAAGTACCCTCCCTGGGCTCTTCTATTTCGAATTCCTGGATCCGCCACTGGAAATTACAACAAATATGAAAATCATATTACAGTAGCTTGATGCCTATAAAATAACTTATAAAATTCACCAAACTTCGTAAAATATCCGTAGCTTCCAGGAGGCTTCGCCCCCTGGACTCCCACCGGGGGGCTTGGCGGCCCCCAGCCTGGATACTCTTTTCGCTCGCATACTCGACCTTATTAAGTGGGCCCCCCCCCCTACTTTCAAAAACGTTCCGCCGCCGTTGCTTGAGGCACTACTTTATTCAGAACACAGACTTAAGTTTAACCAGGGTGTATACATGTAGTTGGAACTCTATGAAGTACTGTATACTTTGTTGATTGGATGTACCTGTGGATGCTTGTCTTGCAAATCCTTGACCCACGGTTAAAATCCTCTTATTTACAACGCCAGGAGTTCTGACCTACTACACTCCCTAAGGTGTAAGTATTTTGTATAGGGGCCTTGTAAAGGGCACCACGTAGCCTATATCAGTTGTTTCAGAAGTTGCCTCACTTATTTTGAATCTTTAGGAAAGTCGTGCAAAAGGGCAAACAATGTTAAATTCACATTTAGCCACTATAAAAAGTAAATGATGCTACTTTTCACTTTATAGGCCTATGTTAACTGCTATACTTCCTCAAAAATAATAATTATAAATCCTCAAAGTTTTAGCCCCCTTAAAAGGGGACACGATGATTATATTCCCTTTAAGTTAACTTATAAGAAATGTTGGTCAAACTTTATTCATTGGTTATTACAAACACCAATCCAGGAATAAATTTAGCTTGAATTGCCAACTAATTAATGTAGGAAAAATATGGCTATAATATTTCTTGTGGAATGTAACTTAATCTTCCCCCTTTCTGCTGTCACATACACGGTTAAATAACTAGCAAACATGTAATAGGCATAGAGTCAATAGATTTTTACAAAGGGCATATAATACGACATCGTGAGACAAATCGTAGTGGGGTTTCCCCATTTTTATCCGAAGCTCCCCTAGCTGCCAATGACCTAGACCTAAATTAAATTTCTTTTGTTAAATTCACTGTCCGTGACCACAACATGATACTGGTTACCTTTAAAGTCTGTGGAAGGAATACAAGTGATTTCTTGCTTGTTAATGGATCTGTATTGCTACCGGGCAACAACAGACCACTAAAAGCGCAAAGTAGAGCTAAAAATGCACGAATGTTGTGCTAAGGACTAACCGGTTTTCAGACGGTGAATATATTTTTATACATTCTTTTTATTCCTTTAAAATAATTAATACAGGAGATAAACCTACAAGAGCTTTTATTCGGTTCGATGATTTATTACACAAGTATTCATCTTTTTCAAACCCTTTGCCGTGCTTTTCAATCGATAAATAATGCTTCATTTCACGGTCGACAATAGTTATCCCAGTTAGTAACATAGGCCCTAAGTAGGCTTATTTTCACTTCGAAAAAAGCAAATGAAGTAGGCCTATAAGTTTTTCATTTCAGCTTTGCATTTGAGTCGTCAGGCAGGTGGGGAAACTGGGGCAGGTTCAACGTTATCCTTCCAGGACGGATCCAAACATTTTCTGACGGGAGGGGGGGAGAGGAGCACGATAGGGAGTCGACGAGCAGCTCACCCCCACCATGGTTGGGGCTGAGGTGAGCAAATTTTATTTCTGATAAAGAGTTAGGCCTATAGTTTAAAAATAAGTGAGTTTAGTGGCTTTCTTAATTAATTCAATAGATAGAACTAGTTCTCGATTCCTTTGGGGGAGAGCATTCCGATACGCAGGCCCAAATTTATAAAATGCACGATTTCTTGAGACACGCCTTTCAAGATGGTTTTCCAATCTAGTATGATCATTTTCAGACCTAAGACCTCCTGCCACACTTATAAACTTTAACAAGATCCTCAAGATAACATGGTACTTTATTATTCAGACAGATAAATGCATGTAGCAGCACTCAGGCCCGTAGCGTGGCGAAGGGGAGGGGGGTTAAGTGTGTAACTACGAACCGCCCAAAAACTGGAGAAGCTCTGCATTTAAAAACGAAAATTTATTCTTAGATATATTTACAATGTTCTCCAGAGTATCGGAGATCATACAAGCCAAAAAGTCCATTTCCACTGAAACGAACGTGTCACAAATTAAGTCACGCTACGGGCCTGGCACTTTATATTTATTCTACTTTCAACTGGTAACCAGTATTCTGTAAGTAAGGGTTTAGCACTTATGTGGATAGAGGGTACTTGGAAAATTAACCTAGCCGCTCGATTTTGAAGCATCTTTAATCTTAGCATGTTTTTGTGGATGTGCCAGCTAATTAGGAGTTAAATAATTTAATCTCGACAGTACGAGTGATCTAGCTGCCTTAGCACATTACACGTTTCTCTGTCGATATAAGCACATTTAAGTGCGACAAATAGAGTTAATATGTGGAGTCATACGTACTAAATTATAGAATATTACACCGATATTTTTTGCTGTATTTGCGGGTTTGAGAGAATCAGCCTATTGCTAACATCAATTTTTTGAAGGGGTCAAATCTAACAATTCTGTCTTTAGCTCGTTGAGTTTAAGTTTATTTTCCCGCATCTACATGCTTAAATCATTAACAGTTAGTGAATTTAAACAGAGTAACCTCCATATCGCTAGGTAATTTTGGGTCAAAGCTCATATAAAGTTGTATGTCATCTGCATATAGATGAATACATATTTCATGATATGTAATAATACCATGGGTTTATTGTAGGTTGTAAACAATGCTGGGTTGACGGTTGATGGGTTTATTTCCATCAAATGGACCCACCAACATTTCTTTGCGACCCAATGTTTGCTACCTGATAAAACAAATATCAACTATAACCTTCGAGCTCTAGAGAGTTCAAGCTACCCAGAATCACAAAGCGGTCCCGGTGAGGTATCCCTCCCTGAGTTACCCCTCCCCCGCCTCGAAAAAGAAAAGAAAAATCCTGTAGGCTTTATTCAGTTTTATTCAGTATTGTACTCAGTATAATTTTTCATTTGTATGTCTTCCATATTTTATGCCCTTTTGGTTGTTTTTGCTTTTCAGGTCTTCCTTTTTGTATTCTAATGTGGTACTGTGTAATGCTTTCTTATTTTGATTAATTTAACTAGAGCATTTTAAATATTTTAAATAATGTAAGATAACATTTTAGGGGGGAGGGGATATGCTGTGGTGGCAAAATCCTGGGATGGCCTGAGGTGGTCGTGGTCGGGCGTCGCTCAAAATTTACGAAAGTGGTCCGAGACGAAGCCCCGGAAAAATTAGGGGTTTCAAAGGCTTATTTAATCGATTTTAAAGATTTAGTTTACTAATGTTTACCTAAACTCCACTCTTTAAAATGCAATCTAGCTTAAAGATTTCGATCCAACTCGGCCACAAGTCAACTCGGCCGCCCGTCAACTCGGTCACAAGTCAACTCGACCACAAGTTAACTTGGCCACAATAAACTACGGTAGGCCACAGTCAACTCGGCCACAAGTCAACTCGGCCACAATTCAACTCGGCCACAGATCAACTCGGCTACAAGTCAACTCGGCCACAAATTAATTGCAAAGTTTTTTTTCACTCTTTTTGTCACTCTATAGGCCTACTCTACTATAACCTGATAATAATATACAGTTATTACTAACTTAATTATGGTTTATTTTAAGTAAATAATATTATTGTAATATTTTTATTTTTAATATATAATATTGTTATTATTATTACCATATTATAATAATAATATTATTATTATTAGGCCCTATTATTATTATTATTATTATTATTATTATTATTATTATTATTATTATTATTATTACTAGAATTATTGCAATTACCGTATATATTAATATAAAATTATATTTATATTTTATAGGAATTTACCAGGAATGATCTGTTTCTTTGGGAACAGGTCAACTCGGCCCCATGTCTTGGGGCCGAGTTGACTTGAGACCGAGTTGACTCGCACTCGTTCCTTTGTACACTCTCAAACGCGAGAGAAACTGAAACTAATAATAATATCATGAACATAATTTCTAGTTTATTGTTATTTTGTCATATTATTTTATTATTTATTGTCTATATTATTTTTACTACAATTTTTAATCATTTATAATGATTTATAATGAACTCGGCCCCAAGTCAACTCGGACCCAAATTTCTGTGTAACTGTATATTAGAGATTTTAGAGTCCTAATACAAACATGAATTTATAAAAATATTAGTATTTAGTATGCCTATGAATAATTATTATTGTTATTATTTTTTAAAGATATTGGCCTATTTACTTTTTAGATATTCTTGTATATTTTTATATTTTATTGCATGTTTTTTGTAGGCTTAGAGTGTTGGAGTGGCACGCCTCTTGGGGACAGAAGTTCTCTGACCTCTTTTGCCACTCCATGGCGCATTCAAAGTTGTATTGTGTCTGTCATTTGTGTTGCCGAAATTAATAAAATAAACAAAAATTATGTCTCTATTAACTTTACCCATCTATAAGAAAAATGATAAGTTAGATGCTGGGAATTATCGGCCTATAGGCCTATCTATACTATCTGCAATTTCCAAAATTGTTGAACGTGTTATACCGGTATATGATCAATTAATGAGCTACTTGACTGATAAAAATCTCCTTTACGATTTCCAGTCGGGCTTCAGGCCATCGTTCTCTACCGACACTTGCTTGATTCATCTGTCTGATTATATACGTAAAAAATGGGATAATGGTGAATATACTGGTATGTTAGTCTTAGACTTAAAAAAAAGCGTTTGACACCGTTCAACATGATATTCTTTTGTATAAATTAAGAGCTATAGGGTTATCTGATATCTCTATTGTATGGATGCAATCATATCTGATGTCAAGTCGTTGACATAAATGGTACTACATCTCCTATACTAGAAACGAAGTGTGGTGTGCGATAGGGCTCAATACTTGGGCCTCTTCTATTTCTAGTTTATGTCAATGACATGCCATCCTCCGTAAAATGCAAATTATTATTGTATGCTGATGATGCAGCGTTAATGGTATCAAGTAATAACGTAAAACATATTGAAACTCAATTAAATGAAGAACTAAAATCTATAAATAAATGGCTTATTGATAATAAACTAACGCTACATTTAGACAAAACTGAATCCATATTATATGGAACACGAAATATGTGTAGAAGACAATCAAAATTGGATATTACCTTTAACAATTGCAAGATAAATGCCAGAACTTGTATTAAGTACCTGGGTCTTGATCTTGATCAGCACCTTAGTGGTAAATCCACTGGTACGAAAGTTTTAGGTAAGGTACATGGTAGACTTAAATTTCTTTTCAGAAATAGAAAATATCTAACGTATAAATCACTCAAATTGCTTGGGTCTTCACTTATACAATGTCACTATGACTATGGGTGCTGCACGTGGTTCTCTTCGCTTACTCAAAAACTTAAAAACAAACTCCAAACATCCCAAAATAAGGTAATAAGATGTGTGTTGGGGCTTAATCCACGAACTCATGTTGGTTATAATGAATATATAAAATTAAATTGGCTACCTGTTTCAACTAGAGTTGCTGAGCGTAAATATATTCAAATTTTCAAAATTATAATGGCATATCACCTGTATATTTAAATATTGGTATTGAGTTCACTAACCTAATTAATAATTAATTAATAATTGATCAGGCCAATAATGGATATCAACTAAAACTCAAAGAGGCCCTCCACATTAAATGGGAGAATCCATCATTGAACAAAGCAAGTACAACACTACAACATTGCACTTACCTGTTAATAAGCGTTTTTACCATTACCTCCAATAATGGTTTCTTCCATTTTCAATCTCAGCTCAAAAGTTTCATGAATATTAATCACATTATTGTCCACTTACACCACAGCTATATCACACCACTTTCAATTCAATCTATTCTGCTGTATTCATTGTCCAAGTTCATCAATATTAATTGCGTAATTGATTTGAGATGGTCACACCACTAATTAATTCATTGTATATAAATGGATGTGGAATTCTATACCTTTTAGTTTACTGAAGATGACTGAGATACAGTTGAAACATGTCTAAAACCTATTCATTAAAACCTTGATTCATTGCTTTCAAATTTGTTATAATTTTGATTTCTCTTCGGTCGTATGGCTATATTATTCAAGATTTGAGACAACATAGTGATGTGAGCAAAAATGATTGTAGAAGGTTTGAGAAACTGCTAAAGAAACTAATGAAAGCTGAAGCAGATCTGAACTTCCTAAACAATATATACATAATATAGGCCTATTTACGTATCTAGGAACATAGCCTAAATATAATTAATTTTAACGAATACCGGTATCTCGTCCTCTTCCTCTTCCTAAGCATTCATCATATAAATCATTTTGGTAAATGTATTTTACAAAAAAAAACAAAAAAACAAAAAAATCCGTTAAACCGATGATGTCAATCACCACTGGTTTAGTTTGCTTCGTTTTCATTAAATAACTTATTATTGTCTTTAGGGCTATAGCATTTTAAGGGCATTTTAAGTAGTATGTTACATTGTCGTATAAAGCATTATGATAGGAACAATGAAAGTGTTAGCCCACGCCCTTTGAAAAGCGTGCAATTGCAAAATATATAATGCTAAAAAAGTTTTTAAAAAATAAAATAAAATAAACACAAGAAAATCCGATGATAATCATTGTTGAGACTAAATGTTGATACTGTGGATACCTTTGAATTAGGCCAAGTGGTCCCCTTGGATATTTTACATCAGTACAGTATTCCTTTTGTTTTCAATATGATTATTAATTACTATATAAGTAATATATACTGTAATTGCAATTTTACATGTAGGCCTATACGGTAATCATTATAAATATTAATAATATTACTATATCCCTATTAAATATGAAATAGGGTAAACTGAAAAGAAGCAAGAGAAGGAAATGAAAAATGAAAATTTATCATTATTCATCAATATTTTAATTTTTCATTTGTAAAATTAGCTAAGCCTGTTGACGCAAATAAGATTTCCTGGGAATATTGGGGCCGAGTTGACATGGTTGGTGTTGATTTTTTCATTTATGCTTTATTTAATGAACGGCCTTCCATATAAATATTAATTTTAAATTTTAAATTTTAAAAGGCAATTAGGAAAAACCCATAAAACAGCAAACGGCCACATAATGCAAAACTATTTAAAATTAAAACGGAACAGTAGAGAAATCCGATCAGAATGACAAAATAAACTAAGCATCCACTGGAAGGAATCCCAATATATGCAGACGGATCCGTTTCGGCCTTCCAGGCCTCATCGGTGCAACTAGGGTATATACCCAAACGAAACGTTCGACCAGCTTAGGTAGGGCCCAAACTAGTCACACGACCACTAATGATTACAGAGCCAAACCAAGGCAATA